ATGTTTCACATCTCTGGTCAGTTTGAGTCACTGGTTCGTTTAAAATTTAAAAACCTGTGTTGTCTGTGTTCATATAGTAAGCAAATCTTTCATGTCTGAAAATTCCAATGTTTTCTTTGTAATATTCTAGATTTTACTGTTCTATGTACTTTTCATTTATAATATATTTGCTCTTCCCAGCATTTGCTATTTTGTTTTTATTATAAGGCCTTGTTATTTGTACCTATCTGCATGAATTCTATGAGCCTGTTTCTTAAAATAATCATTTTACAGAACAGGGTAAGGAATACTTTGAACCAAGTTTTGGAGATGTTTAGGACCTCACAAGCATTGTCTGGATTGCAGCTCTAAATTTAAGTGAATGTGCATTTCTGTTTAGTACTTCCTAAGGGAGCCCAACTTTATTTGTCATCTTTTTTTTAGAGGTGAAACTGAGGCAGGCACATATATATCCAAAAGCCCTTTTGCTGGATAACATTTTGGTATTTCACTTGTTCTAGATGTCATCTTTTGGAAAACCTGGCTTCACACCATGGTTTCGGGCTTCTTGTTCTATATGGCAATACAGTTTAAGTTTATTCCCAAACTTTAAGTCATCTGTGATGGACAAGTTTCCCAAGGTTTTAACATTCCCTTATGTCTTAGTGCCTACATTCATAGTCATCTGTGGTACGTTGTTTCCCTTACTTGACTATAAGCTTGGTACTACTATTGAAAGCAATTTTCTTATTTTATTAGCCTATATATATTGTATGCAATAATCAGTTTCATTATGGCATTTTCATAATTTGTATATTTTGATCAAATTACACCCCATTACCTTCTCTTGTCCTTCATATTTTTACAGATCTTTTTTCCTCCTCCCAGGTACTCTCCACCTTCTATTATTACAGCTTGGATGACAAGGATTTCATGAGCCCCCTCCCCTAAGAATTAACAGACAGTTAGGAGTAGCTAAGGGAGAGTGGCTCATGAGTCCCTAACTCTTCCAAAGGGTCTCGAGGCAGTTAATGGTTGCCAAGAGGAGAGACATTTTCTTCTGGTTGCAGCCACTGGAAATGTACACACACACCTATATAGAACCCCTTGTCTATGCACCTGTAAGAATCCCTAATGAAATTCATAGAATCATGCCTGAAAACATTTTTATAGATTTAAAGAACCATTTTAGATGTTCTCTACAGGGAAGTGTTTGCATTTCAATGTATTATACAGCAGAAAACTGATGGTAGTACCATATCTAGTAGAGCACTAGACTAAGCACAAATGAAAGTGCCCTTAAAATTCTTAGCATTTAAAAATAAAATATGCTTAAAGTGTAACAATATATACACAGAAATGAATCTTCCTAGCGCATTTTGGAGAGTTTGGTGTTAATTGGGTATACCCTGAAATTTGTGACACATCGTTTGATAAATATCTCATGTTTAAGGTTAAGTAGATTCTGTGTAGGAAGCAGAATAATAGAATTTAATTAAGTATGTGCATATTTGAATTATATGTAAGAAATGGAAAACATTTTCAATTTTCTATTATAATTATTTATGCACTTAGAAATAAAGTATCATTTTAATATTGTTCTATTATTTAATTATGTTATTATTCTGTCTTTATTAGTCATTCGAAAATATTTCGATTGTCATGAACATAGATGGAAAGGTTGTTTTTATATCAGAGAATGTGTCACCTCTTCTTGGCTACGATCCAGTAAGTTCTTCCAGCTTTTGGAGAAATGGGTCATTCTGGTTTGTTGTTTATGGGTTATTTCTTTTTAGCCTCATATAACTCATTGGTGTCCACTCTTTCATCATCTTCTCCACTGGTTTCAGTGTTAAGTCAATAAAAACAAATTCTGGTTTAAGGTAAGAAAATGCAATTTGCATTTTGTTTAGGAGTTTTACAAAGAAGACTGGTTTTATTTTACTCTGTGTGGAACTTAGGATTCTTAGTTGAACATAATCCTACTGAGGTAATGTAGCCCTTTGGATTCTTTTTTATGAATGATATCCACCTTTCCTCTACTAATGAAAGAATAGGTAACACCTCTTATTATTTTATGTTTTACATCATATTTGTTGTACATATTATTTTAAATTTTTAGTTTTTTGTGGGTTTAACATATAAAATAATTAGGTTTTATTATGGCTTCCTTCTGTCTTTCCTTCCTTTTTGTCCTTCCTTTCTTCTGGAAAGATAAGGGTAGTATTCTATAGTTGAAGCTACACTGAAACTCCCTATGTAGCCCAGGTTGGTTTTGGACTCGGCATTGTACTTACTTTTCTGTCCTTTGTCCTGATTGCAAGTATGAATCATTATCTCTCGCTCATTAGTACATTTTATACTTAGATAACATATATTATTCTTTTTTATTTTCATTAATTATAGTTTATTCAGTTGGTATCCCACCTGTAGCTCCCTCCCTCTTCCCCTCCCAACCCCTTTCTTCCTTCCTCTTCTCCATCCATGCCCTTCCCCCAGTCCACTGATAGGGGAAGTCCTCCTCCCCTTCCATCTGATCATTATTTTTATTGTAACCATGGACATTATAATTCACATAATGTTCATCTTTAGTAATGTTTACTTAGTGTAAAAACAATAATCACTTCATACAGGATGTCTATAAGACTGTTTCAGTAACACATTGTGGGATAGGTGTAAGTTGGATTTGAGGCAACTGTCTAATTATAAAAAGAACAATATGCATGAATAAAATATAGGAAAATGCTTCATCTTGTATGGAGTAATAAAGCTGCACTGTGTGTAAACATTTAGACAGTGTCTTTGTGAGGTGATGGTTTAATTATTTGTTAGATGGGCAAATCAGTGAATGTCCAGGTTTATCATAGATTTGTTTAGTTATCTCAATTATATTTTTATAAATGAATCAACTAATAATTTTATTGACAAAAATAACTATTTCTTTATGTTACTGGAGATTGAAATTTTCCCCACCAAAATAAATGTGGCCAGATTAAAATGTATACAGGGATTTAGACTGGAAAGTGTGACAAAGGTGAAAAAAAAAAGTGAGAAAGAGCACAGTCAGAAGAAAGGCTTTCTAGCAGAGTTGAACACTCATTGGAAGGCATGTTTGTGTGGGGTTTTCCTATCTACTTTCAGTTGCTTGGATCATGACTGGAGACAGCACTATGGATGAGAAGCTGAGATTCTTCCAGGCCTGTAGCACAGAGGGAAATGATACATGGTGATGGTTACAGGATTAGTGGTCTCTGAGATAGCAGTAAAGGTTTCAATTGTTTGAGAGAGATAATGCATAGAAACTTTAGACAGAATGAATTGTAGCATGGAGTAATTGCTAAAGGGCAATGCAAACATCACCTATAGCAATAAACTGGCAAAGACAGAGCTAAATTCATGGGTGGTATGGAGACAGGGCAGACTAATTAGTATAGAAAGCAATACCTGTTCTCTCTCCCCAGGAAGAAATAATTGGAATGAGTTTATTAAATATTATTCTTGATGAAGAAAAGGAAGAAATATCTCAGAAGATAATTCTTAATCTTCCTTTGGCAAATTCAGGTATATAAATATTTACATATACAAAAAGACATATATGACTTTGTTTTGTTTTAATTTAATTTTGGGGTTTTGAATGACAAGCAACACTTAGTTGAATAATTTCTTGCTATCTTATCCCTTAGCAATTTTTGGAAAAATATAGTCAGAGTAGCTGCTGACCATATATTAATTTAAATTTATAGCCTATAATTTCAAACTACATTTCTTAAAAAAATTATCAACTCTGTAGGAGTGGGCCTTCACGCTCAGCAAAGGAGCTAATGACACTTTATGGATACTGGGGGAGGGTGAGAGGGTTTTCTCCAAGGATGTGGACCCTGGAAGGTTAACCATGATCACAGTGGTTCCCAACTTTCCTAATGCTGTGACCCTTTAATGTAGTTCCTTATGCTGTGGTGACCCTTAACCATAAAATGGTTTTCATTGCTACCTCACAACTGTAATTTTGCTACTGCTATGAATCTTAATGCAAACATCTGTGTTTTCCAATGGTCTTAGGTGATCCTGTGAAAGGGTCATTTGTCCCCCAAAGTGTTGTGACCTACAAGTTCAGAACTGTTATTTTAGTGGATGCTTCATATTCAGAACTATATACGTAGTAGAGATTGGAAGTGTGTATTTTTTGACACAAAGTTGGGAAGCGCCAAGAGGAGATATGAAATTGGATGTGGGAGGAATTGGGAAGAGTAGGACATAAACATGATCAAAATACATTACATACATATGTGAAATTCTCAAAGAATCAATAACATTTTATCAAAGTCATCCCCCACCCTATCTTGTTCTTTACCTAAACCCTAATTACAATAGTATTTCTCTGATTTTAGTAGCTAATCACAGCAGTATTTCTCTGATTTTAGTAGTGCTTTATAAATACCAGCATATTATATTCTGGCTAGTACCTTAGTCTACAGATAAAACAATGATAGCTTTGTGAGCACCAGCATTCATGGGATGAAAATTGTGTTCTTTAAAATGCTGTCTTTTTCTTTCTCAACTTCTCTTTAATAGAACAAGTGTATATTAGCCATTTTTTCCTCAACAATTATAGATTGGACAAGATAGTGAAGTAACAAGGATTGGAATAATTAAATCAAATATCATTTTAAAGATTGCCCCCCCCCAAAAAAAAAACTAAATAAGAAAAATAAAACAGACATGAACAGTTTCTGGGAAATGTTAATGATGTCAAGATGATGACATGCAGTGACTTCATGTCCTTACAATGTTAGCATCACTTAGCAAGTCAATGAATACGTAAGAAACAGCACAATATTATCCAATAAAAAAAAAAAAAACAGTAGAAAAGTTTGCCAAGATACTGAGCTTTTGTCATGTCTAAAGCTCTCCCAGTTAGCCTTGTTCTTTCTATCCTATGTGATGACGTTTTAACTAAGGAAGACTTTCATTGTCTGAAATAATCCATTGGACTAAATAACTTTGTTTCTTGTTCTCTTTAGTTGGACGTCTTATTGAATTTTGCTGTTATCTAAGAAGAGGAAATGCAGGTTGTAATGCCCAGGACAGGTCTAATTACATGTGCGCATATGAAAGAAGAGACACTTATGAGTATGTGAAATTCATCTTGTACCTGCAAGATTCTTATGATGGTAAGCAATCCAGCCCATGATATCTACATGATGGTCATGTATTCCCTGAATGCAAGAATACATGTTCTTGTATTATTGGCATTTACAAAACCTCTGATACCCCTACACTCTTAATTTTTGGCTACACCTATTAGAACTTTAAAAAATAATGACTTTTATAAGGTGGGGCCATATACAAACATGGTGGAATATATCGTTAAAGATAGCTGTCTCCTCCTTCAAAAGAATAATTTTAAAATCTAGTCAAAAAGTTTAATGTGCTAACAAACTTAAAGGCAACTCTATGAATCCTCAAAGATATAAATGGATTTTGTAGTTTGTAAATCATATCACAGATTGGATTAACTAGGGTCTGGACTTCTAACAACCTATCAAGGACCAATATATTAAAATACAGGCACTAATGTTCTATACACTGACCTGAGGAAAGAAGTCATATCTCTAAAATTTTCAATAGATAAAAGCTATGTTATTTCAATATTTATGCCATATGATATGGGGCCTGATGTACAATTTTTGAGGTTTAAGGTAGTGCAAGTAGAGAAATCAACGTATATAATTAAAGTTAACTGCTACAGAGCCATAAAAAATATGAGGTAATCAGAGGTAAGGTATAAATTGTGCTTTAGGTATCCAAATGCTTCTTAAAATATTTCTCCTATTTCTTGGAAGTTGAAAGTAAAATATCTTTAAAAACATTTGGAAAGATGCATGTCCATTCATACATACCACACACACACATTTCTTTTAGAGACTCCCACAACAGTCTATAGCACAACAGCAAAAGACTGACATCAGCACAAATTTACATTTGATTGCCACTATGAATGGCTCAATTTTCAGTGATGACCATCTGGGGAATCTTTGGAGTTTGGCTGTAAGGGAAAGAAGACAAAGAAAATCCTGTGGCTTAGAGTCTTGAAAGATGCCATTGGGGTGGCAAACAGCATTGTGATGTGGCAGTTGTCTGCCTTCTTGCTTATCTAGTATATCTTTTAACTTAATTGTCATTGTGTCTGTCATCCTTAGAGTCATTTGTATTTTTTGGAAAATGTGGTCGTAACAGCAGAAGCATTTCATCATCCGCTACAAAGCAGTATTGGGAACAACAGTATTATCTTGTGGGAACCATCAATGTTCTTCGTGCACCAGATAAATCAGTGAGTATGCTGTATGTCTTTCACACTTTGAAGGGCACATCATTTTCACTTTCAGCTGCTGGACATCAACTGCACAAAGACTCAGTAGTCAATAAGGAGAGAACAACTTGTATATTTCTGTTAGGATGTGAATGGCAGGAACCTGAACTGATTACAGTCATGAGGATGGAAACTCAAGGATTTGGGATGAGATACTGTCAGCAGTTACAGGCCTGACCAGAACAAATGGCAATTAGGGAGCTGGGAGAGGGTGTAGCTCTACTCTGTACAAGGCTGGGCTTGTACAAAATACAGAGTTTAACTCTCAGAGATTCCAAAATGATGACAACAATGTAAATTAATATGCTAATTTTTCTGCAGGAACAACCCATTAAAATTCTACCTGAGGTTATACTTGTTGGATCAGATGATGACAGTACTATACAGTACAATAGGTAAGGGGTATCATGGCTGTAAGTAATGCATAGCTGAAACACTCACTTTTTTTTTCTAAATAAGGCCAAAACAATAGAAAGATCATCTAATGATTGTAATGAATCTAAAATGGCCAATTTGCTGGTCTACACCTGCCTTATCAATTAATATAACTTAGTGTTTTCCAACAGAATAAGTACAGATTATTGCCTTTTTATTTTTGTTTTTAAACTATTTCAATTATGTTAAAAACTGCAGATTTTTCTTGCCTGCCTGCCTTTCTTTCCTTCTTTCCTTCTTTCCTTCCTTCCTTCCTTCCTTCCTTCCTTCCTTCCTTCCTTCCTTC